TTGTTACACTGTAGGCTAAGTACAGAGTAATATTAATTAACTACATGTGCTTACTGTATAGTTAGGTTAGGATTAGGGTTTGGCTTAGGGTTACTTGCATGTAATTATGCATAATTAATTGCTATTATAATAGTAAGTACATGTAACATGTGTAACAGGGACACCTTACCATAAAGTGTTACCGAAAACCATGTGTTTTACTGGTCGCTTTGTCGTTTCTCGTTTCGTTCAAGCAAGAGGGGGTTTTCCAGGCGAATGTCAGTCGCTTTTCATTTCTACACCGATTACCTTCAAACCTGTTCCCCATTCCGCTGTGAGACTCGGGTTCTGTTCCGCACACAAAACCCTGCTACATAAAGTGTTACCGAAAACCATGTGTTTTACTGGTCGCTTTGTCGTTTCTCGTTTTCGTTCAAGCAAGAGGGGGTTTTCCAGGCGAATGTCAGTCGCTTTTCATTTCTACACCGATTACCTTCAAACCTGTTCCCCATTCCGCTGTGAGACTCGGGTTCTGTTCCGCACACAAAACCCTGCTGTCCAAGAGGTTTGTCTCAAACGAAATGCCCCTTAACTGGCCGAACCTGAGGGTATTCATGCGCTCGGGCTGTTTCGGGAAACATTTCACTAGTGCATGATGTTGAGCAGATCCCCGGACCCCGGACCCCGCAAATCTCTCGTCTTCATCTCCTTTGATTTGGTTCGCTAAACTATGAAACGGGTTGCCGAAATATTTTTCTACAGTAGCTGAATTCTTGCATGACTTGACCTGTACATTTTCATGATTTATTTATTTTTGTTCTATTGATAAAGAGCATAAAAATGACAATAATGTTGTACAATAAAATGCTTTCGATGCGAATGTCTGCTTTGGGTTTGAGCTTCAAACAATCACAAAGAGGAGACACAGAAAGTCATAACAGCGTAGTTCGTTGTAGATTGCATCAGATTCAGAGTCAGGCCAGGACATTGAGAGCTCACACACACACCATCGAAACACGAGGCTTCTTTCAAGAAAGCCAGTTCATTAAAGACTGTTTAACAAAAGACTACTACTTATTGGAAAGAGAAGCAGCTTCATTCTGTGATCGGGGCATGTTGTCACAATGGGAACCTGCTGTTATTGAAACTGATTTGAGAGAAATGCCTTTCAAAAAATACATTATCAATTGAAACATTCATTTCAGGCTATTTAATACATTTCCAATGCCAATAAAAATACAAATTCATGCAACATCATCGATGGAAAAGGTTACTAAAATATCTTACCATTGTTTTAGCCAAGAGAATCTGTAATCAGTTCATTCAAAATTATAAAATGACAACATTAAAAGCTCATGTGACGGCTTGCCACAACCCGACATGCTTGAAAAAATTTTGAGGTTAACTTTCGTCTGAAATTCTGCCAGTGTTTATTGTGTCCACTTTTTATTAAAAATACGATGCTAATGAAGCTTAGTTAGGAGGACAGAATTCACAAGACACATGCTTATTTCAGGCAGTTTTGATCTGGATGCTGGGGCCGCACACATTAGTCTGAGTGTGATGTAGGACTTCATACGCTCAACAATCAGAGCTTGGACTTCAAGCAAGCAGCAGTCCATGGGGTGTCCTTTAATTAGCCTTTACTCTGTGGAACTCAAGCGGGCCACAGAGGCCTCGTGGGTGGATGGGATCCGTTCCTCCGCTCCAGCTTTCAGTACACACATCAACTCGCCATCAAACAGCGGAACAGAACACGTCAAGCTTATCACACAATTATAATCAGATTTTATTTTTTCATTGTATCCCCCAGCTTAATCTGCCAACAGAATAACTTTTGGCTAACAAGTATAATCTAACAAGTATCTAACTCTCAGAGACTCACAGTGACGACAGTGCTTGACGTAATGACATATGCCACCTTTAAAACAACCCAGTGTGGGTTCAAACGAGCTGCCTACAAACACCGTTGATGATTGCTGCAGAAATACTGTTTCATAGCGGTCAGCAGTTTTAATTCACACTAAAAGATCATGTTCAATAAATCACAAGTATTAAATGATAAATACTTCAAATGATTTTTGTTGTAGCCTAATACTTTTCTGTCTTTGAGCTTCATGGGAAGGTGTTTGTGAAGGTCTGTGCATGTGCTCTGTGTTCAGGCAAGGGTTAGGATGAAGGAATCCAGGATCACCACACATTCTCTTGGCTTTATGGGAAGACACCTCAACACAGTCTATATGCCTTGTACTTCTATGCATTTTGAAATTTTGTGATGTTTCATCCCAAAGATATACATTATTTAAACAGGGCACCCCACCATTGTTGCTTCACGTTTAAATAATGTATATCTTTGGGATGAAACATCACAAAAATGTAGAATGAGAGATATAATAGATATTACGCAAAACTTGTAAACATGTCAGTAAATACACTGATATCTAGGGCTTGGTTGCTGACTGGAAGAGCAGCACACAAATATTTATTTTATTTATTGGTTTGAAGGAGTCGTTATGATTAACACTTTTTAAGCAAAGCCTTTCTAGTGAGCTCAAAGCATATTTGCCAGCGCACACGTCTTTGCCATCTAAGGCTTTCATTATAACTTCATTATAATGTCCTTTCTGATTTCCTTTATTTATATATTTTTACATTTCATGTCATTACCCAAACAGAGTGGGGTCATCATATTATTATTGGCCTTAAAGTGATAGATGACCCAAAAATGTAAATTCTGTCATCATTTACTCACTCTTATATTTTTCCAAACCTGTAAGACTTCTTTTTTTTTTTTTGGGAAAACACAAATGAAGATATTTTTAATGAGTTTCTGTCTTTCCACTGACAGTCCATGTACTGACTCCATTTCAGGTGTAAAAAGGCTGCAGGACTTCCTTTATACATAATGAGCAATACCATCAAAATCTCAGATATAGGAGAGATGCTGCATTGTCTTAACATTTTGTTGCTGTAGGATCAACATTTAAGGTACCTAACATTATAGATATGAATGATATGGAAAATAGAGGAAGGCATTTAATGGCTCTTAATTTTAGTTTTAAACTATTTTCTACTTGTCAGATTAAAAAAAGCTCTTACACTATTCAATAAGTCAGCTGACCCTGACCAATTACAACCACTTAAAAAAAAAATTGCTGCAGATTATATTGCTGCCCCTTTGTCATATACTTATAATCTTTCACTGAGTTTAAATTAATTACCCAAAGATATGGAAGTCTGCCTTTGTTATCCAATTTGTTAAAAGGAGGAGATCCTTCCAATATGAATAACTATTGGTCGGTTTCTAAGCTTTGTATTTTTGCAAGACAGCTGGCGAAGATCGCTTCATCTGAGACGTCTCGAAGATGTCAGTTTACATACAAGCATCTTACAGACATATTCGTGCTTTCTGTAATCAATATGAATCTGTACTAACTTTAACAGTCTCCCCGCACTCCCTCAGTTTCTTCTCCCTGCTCATTCTTAACTTTGATTTTTACTTTATATTTTGTCTAAGGTTTTTGAATCTCTCATTAGTGAGCAGTTGACTTCATATCTTATGGAACATGATATTTAATCACACAATCAGTCAGGTTTTAGGAAACAACACAGCACAACCGTATAATGAGCAATACCATCAAAATCTCAGATATAGGAGAGATGCTGCATTGTCTTAACATTTTGTTGCTGTAGGATCATCATTTAAGGTACCTAACATTATAGATATGAATAATGATATGGAAAATAGAGGAAGGCATTTAATGGCTCTTAATTTTAGTTTTAAACTATTTTCTACTTGTCAGATTAAAAAAAGCTCTTACACTATTCAATAAGTCAGCTGACCCTGACCAATTACAACCACTTAAAAAAAAAATTGCTGCAGATTATATAGAATATAAATATCTTGGTTTTATGCTTAATTGATGGCTCATCTTTTAAATCTCACGTTAATCAATTAAGAACCAAATTTAAATTGAAGCTGGGGTTCTGTTACAGAAATAAACTCTGCTTTTCATTTGAGGCAAAAAGAAGATTAGTTTCTGCCATTTATGCCAGTCCTTGAGAGCAGGCATGTGTTTGTTTAAAGGCACATTTTACGCACAAAAAGGTAATATTCACAAATTTCTATTCTTATTTTTTCTTTGCCTGTCTTCTGCCTACACTTTGTGACATTTTCTGTTAAACAAAACAATTTCTCACATTGAGCAATTAATTACCTTTTAATTTATAGGATGTCCCACTTTAGCTGAATGCTACTGTCCCAATTTATCTAACATGTTCAGGTAAACTGGGACAGTAACAAAACTTAATATTTAAAAAATAAATAGAAAGAAGAAACTTGCACATCATTGCATAAAATTGAATGATCACATGAACGCATGTCATACACATTATATTGCAGAGTGATTTACTGTTTGTTTTAGAAATGAAACCTTAACAATTTTAATAGGCTTTCTGTACGGCACTTTCTCAGACCTTCCAGCATTTGAGTGGTAACCACGCCCATATGATTTACATCTGACTAATCAAATGTGGATATTCAAGCTACTGTTATTACAACATTTCAAGACCACCCATTATAATCAGTCATGTTCTTTCTGATGTCCCACTTTTGCTGACCTCTCCCTCTCCGTTCTCTCACCCAGCTCAACGCTTCTGGAGCTCATTCTCTGCGCTCACAGGACTTGTATAGTTTTTCCCTTCCATCTGAACAAACTGGATTTGGAAAACAAGCTTTTCGGCATATACTGTTAAAGGAAGAGTCAACTTGTAAATGTTTGTAAATGGGTTTTGATACTGTGTTTTGTTTTGTTTTTGATAATGTAGTGGCAGGTCACTTCTGTAAAGGAGGTTTTTAATCTCAGAAAGGTTTTACCTGGTTAAATAAAGGACAATACTATTTAGTGGACAATACCCAGATAGCACATGCACGTCTGCGAGAGGTCTGTTAAAGATCTCTTCGTCTGGAAAGCATCTGCTGTGTACAAACATCTGATAGACGTCTCTAAGTCTTTCAGTTTTACATGCATTCTAAATCATAAACGTCTTGAAGACATCTTCTATACGTGTATTTGACATCTGATAGGAAACGTCCTATAGTCGTACTGCAGATGAGCAAACAGTCTAAAGATACGTCTAGCAGATGTAATGCAGACGTCTCCGAGATGTACCTGTGCTATCGGGGTAATATACACTTCTCTTTCTAAATGAAAGTGTTACTGGGCAAACAGTGCTGATTATTCACAGTTCTACTGCATGGATCGTCGCTGGTGTTTAATGTTGTAATATTGAATTGTTTGGAAAGGAGCGGATCCAGCGTTGTTCTCCGCCGCAGCACTAGGTGTCGCCAGAGCAGAGCACACGTCTGAGTCCCGAGCTCAGCTTCCGCCGCCGCTGTCCGACTCATCTCCGCGAACCGGCTCTTTTCGGACAGATCGGCTCATTGAACCGGTTCAACAAGCCGATTCATCGGTTCCTGGCGTCATCCAGCAGTAACGTTGTATCAGTGAACGATTCAAATAAGTCACGTGTGCTACCCGGACCCGGAACTACAGCTCGATTCTGTTCGACTTCTGAACCGGCTCGACCGGTCACTTCCTGAGAACCGGCTCCAAAGAACCGAACGAACCTCGCTGCTTCGGGATGGTCTGAATGGAGCCGCGGTCACGGGAGTGCTGTGTTGTCGGACAGGTCACAGCTGGTGTGGTCTGCTGTGTGTGTGTGGAGAGCTGAGCGAGCCCGAGCGCAGTGCATCTCTGCAGCGGGCACTGGCGCTTTCACAGGACCTGAGAGCACAGGTACGTCTGCAAGACAGCTGGTGAACATCGCTTCATCTGACAGTTTACATACACACATCTTACAGACGTCTTCTATCGTATTGCAGATGAGCAAACACTCTATAACATACGTCGTCTCCGTGATGTCCCATTACAGAAACCACAGGCTGACCAGGGCTCTTCCTGCACAGCTGGGCTCCAGCCCTCATCAGGAGCCGCTGCATGAAGATCTTCAGCGGCACCTGACCAGGGCTCTTCCTGCACAGCTGGGCTCCAGCCCTCATCAGGAGCCGCTGCATGAAGATCTTCAGCGGCACCTGACCAGGGCTCTTCCTGCACAGCTGGGCTCCAGCCCTCATCAGGAGCCGCTGCATGAAGATCTTCAGCGGCACCTGACCAGGGCTCTTCCTGCACAGCTGGGCTCCAGCCCTCATCAGGAGCCGCTGCATGAAGATCTTCAGCGGCACCTGACCAGGGCTCTTCCTGCACAGCTGGGCTCCAGCCCTCATCAGGAGCCGCTGCATGAAGATCTTCAGCGGCACCTGACCAGGGCTCTTCCTGCACAGCTGGGCTCCAGCCCTCATCAGGAGCCGCTGCATGAAGATCTTCAGCGGCACCTGACCAGGGCTCTTCCTGCACAGCTGGGCTCCAGCCCTCATCAGGAGCCGCTGCATGAAGATCTTCAGCGGCACCTGACCAGGGCTCTTCCTGCACAGCTGGGCTCCAGCCCTCATCAGGAGCCGCTGCATGAAGATCTTCAGCGGCACCTGACCAGGGCTCTTCCTGCACAGCTGGGCTCCAGCCCTCATCAGGAGCCGCTGCATGAAGATCTTCAGCGGCACCTGACCAGGGCTCTTCCTGCACAGCTGGGCTCCAGCCCTCATCAGGAGCCGCTGCATGAAGATCTTCAGCGGCACCTGACCAGGGCTCTTCCTGCACAGCTGGGCTCCAGCCCTCATCAGGAGCCGCTGCATGAAGATCTTCAGCGGCACCTGACCAGGGCTCTTCCTGCACAGCTGGGCTCCAGCCCTCATCAGGAGCCGCTGCATGAAGATCTTCAGCGGCACCTGACCAGGGCTCTTCCTGCACAGCTGGGCTCCAGCCCTCATCAGGAGCCGCTGCATGAAGATCTTCAGCGGCACCTGACCAGGGCTCTTCCTGCACAGCTGGGCTCCAGCCCTCATCAGGAGCCGCTGCATGAAGATCTTCAGCGGCACCTGACCAGGGCTCTTCCTGCACAGCTGGGCTCCAGCCCTCATCAGGAGCCGCTGCATGAAGATCTTCAGCGGCACCTGACCAGGGCTCTTCCTGCACAGCTGGGCTCCAGCCCTCATCAGGAGCCGCTGCATGAAGATCTTCAGCGGCACCTGACCAGGGCTCTTCCTGCACAGCTGGGCTCCAGCCCTCATCAGGAGCCGCTGCATGAAGATCTTCAGCGGCACCTGACCAGGGCTCTTCCTGCACAGCTGGGCTCCAGCCCTCATCAGGAGCCGCTGCATGAAGATCTTCAGCGGCACCTGACCAGGGCTCTTCCTGCACAGCTGGGCTCCAGCCCTCATCAGGAGCCGCTGCATGAAGATCTTCAGCGGCACCTGACCAGGGCTCTTCCTGCACAGCTGGGCTCCAGCCCTCATCAGGAGCCGCTGCATGAAGATCTTCAGCGGCACCTGACCAGGGCTCTTCCTGCACAGCTGGGCTCCAGCCCTCATCAGGAGCCGCTGCATGAAGATCTTCAGCGGCACCTGACCAGGGCTCTTCCTGCACAGCTGGGCTCCAGCCCTCATCAGGAGCCGCTGCATGAAGATCTTCAGCGGCACCTGACCAGGGCTCTTCCTGCACAGCTGGGCTCCAGCCCTCATCAGGAGCCGCTGCATGAAGATCTTCAGCGGCACCTGACCAGGGCTCTTCCTGCACAGCTGGGCTCCAGCCCTCATCAGGAGCCGCTGCATGAAGATCTTCAGCGGCACCTGACCAGGGCTCCATCTGAAGCCTCCAGGAACAGCACTGGGCAGCCCTGGCTTCAAATATCAACTTCATTTGAATGCTAAATTAATTGTGAATTATTTACAATATATTAACACTCCCAATTTCTTTTAATAAAAACAAGTGGAGCCCTTTTGATTTGGACCAGTCCGCAATCATTCAGCAACCACCAAAACAACCTGGCAACACCTAGCAACCAGCGAGCACATCACAGCAGTCACCTAGCAACGCAATAATAGACACTCAGAAGTAGAGCCCGACCGATATGGGTTTCGGAGCCGATACCGATACGATATTAGGGAGTAAAAAAAGGCAGATACCGATATATCGGCCGATATTCTTTGTGTATATTTTAGTACAGTACCAGTCAGAAGTTTGGACACTTTCCCGTTCGTGTGTCCACACATTTGACTGGTACTATATATAGCATACAGTATATACATAAACAGAATATATACACACAAACACATTTTTTGCAATGATCGCTCAAATGTGGTGATCAAACACTTATAATGGTGACAGAGATATGTAAGGGCTTTTAACAATTTAACAATAAACTTGCGACGAGTGCGATGCACAAAGTAACGGGGTGTTAGTTGTAACACACGTGGTTTGAATATTTATTTTACTATAGTAACATTTAAAATCTGGCTTAAGTAAATTTATCATCTCAGTTTTTATTATTCATTTAAAATGAGACCAATCTGCTATTATTTTAATCTCCAATCTGTTATTTATCAGTTCAGATAGTTTTGTAATGCTTTGATTACTAGCAGAAGACACTAACCAGTTTTAAACTCCAGTTGCGCAGATGGGGTACCGATATATCGGCGACAGGCTCATATCGGCCGATAATATCGGCAAAACTGTATATCGGTCGGGCTCTACTCAGAAGACCTTAGCAACCGCCCCGCTAAACGAGCATCACTCACTTACTCTGCACAGTATTTCCCTAAGTCAATTTTCCATTGGGTAATCTGCAGGGTGACATTTCCCTGTTGAAAAAACAGCATATGCTGGTTAGGTATGTTTTGACGCTGGGATGCTGGTTTAAGCTGGTCCTTTGCATAAACCAGCAAAGGACCAGCTTAAACCAGCATCCCAGCGTCAAAGCACACCTAACCAGTATATGCTGTTTTTTTCAACAGGGTTAACACTGATGAGCGCAGGGAAATGCCTCAGAAGAGAAGAAAACAGAAGGTGAAGTCCAGCCCGACGGAAGCCTCTGCTCCGAGTGTGGGGACGACGAGAAGCACAGACCACCAGGAGGAGAGGAGAGAGGCGGGCAGAGCGAGTCCAGCCGATCAATCACAGCCGGCTCTAGATGAAGATTCAGTCGTAAGACTGCTGCAGCAACAAAACCCATCCGAGACGGCAGGAGGACGAGAGCAGAACCACAGGAGCCTGACACTCGTGGGATGTGTGTCACCGTCTAGAAACACAGACAGCCGTGAGTGCTTCTCCTCACCACTGAGATGAGCGTGTGTTGAACCCACAGCTTCCTTTCCAAGCCGTTGACCTCCATAACACACGCTCCTAATCAGGCTTTCCGTGGGCTTTATAAGGCCTTAAAAGGCTAAACTCTCCCTTCCATTATGTAAGCGCTTAAATCATAAATTCTTGAAAAAGTGAACAGAAATAAGTGAATCTATGCTTCAAAACAAGAACATCTGTCAGTGAGGAATGAGCACTTGTTTTCCCTTTGAATGAAGCCGATTGGCAGATATTTGTTCTTGATCACTTCATTTTGATAAATTTTTCAGAAAACGACTTCTAATCTTGTTATTTTGCTTCTTAAGTAAATAGATCTTGATTTAAGAATCTTTAGACATGTGCACCGGAAAACAAGACAAGAAGAACAGCACTTTTTTCCAGTGGGATCCAATAATTATGAATTAAAATGTAATGGAGGACAGTTGGAAGTTGTATTTGCGAAATGTGAAGTGTTGCTAATACATTGACATTTAGAGAGCATTCCTTCAATTAATTCATTATCTTGAAAAAAGTCTTCGATCTAGCTGCAGAAACCCTGCTGTCAGTCATGAGCGATTCATCAGTGCCTCTGAAATGACTTTCCCATTTCTGGATAGATCTTTTTCATTTTCACTTTTTCAGTGAATGTCTTGTTTCACTAGCAAATATTTCACCTTTGGCAATAAAGTAGGTTGGAAACGTCGTGTCACGTTGACTGACTTTAGGAATTCATAGGTGTTTAGTGAGGTTTAGGTTCACGAAGTACTAAACTGAAATGTGATCTAGTTCCTCGTTTAACTAATTGTCGTACTATTCAAGACATTTAATCAAGTAAAACTTTTAAATGGTTTTTGAGCGTGGGAATAATGTTTTTGTCCAAGACCATTTTCAAAAGCTCTGTGATCTTTTTCTTTTCAGGGTTGAAGTTATTAGCAGAGAAGCGGAAAACGAGTCCATACTTCAGTGGAAGGGATGACGGTATGAGACGGGTTTTATGGAGTGATACCGTGAACTAACCAGGCGTGATGCGATGAAAGTTATTGATACGCCAAACATGCAATTTTTTTTTTTGAAATTGAACAAGCAGACTGCTGTGACCATGAGTTGGTCTTAAGCAGGTATAATAATTTTAATTTTCAAATGTCATCAGTCGCTTAGTTTGTATTTCTGCAGTGTCGCACTCGTACAGTGACCCAAAATCCTGCTCTGCATAAGCGTAAAAACCTGAATATGTTCTGACCATAGACTGTATAAAAACATGGACGTAGTGTCCGTGACGTCACCCGTAGGTTTCCGAAGAGCGTTTTTGAAGCTGGCAAAGTGGGTGGAGCCGGCCGTCGCCATCTTGGCAGCGCGTCACTCCCGGATAATCGAAAATGGGCAGAGGCGGGAGCTGGTTGCTGAAGCCACGCCCACCTTGCTCGACAGTGGTGACAGCAGCGGCAATCCACCTGTCACTCAAGTGGCCACACCCTTAATTATGCAGAAATTTAAGGCTTAATATAATTTAAACGGATGAGTTATAAAAAAATTCACCCCCCTCACAGTTGTCATGAAGGGCAAAATTAGCTATATAGACCAAAATAATTTTTTGAACCAGGCTGTAAACATGTTTTTTTCTGCTGTAAAGTTGGGCATTTTAACATGGGGAGTCTATGGGATTGACTCCCTTTTGCAGCCAGCCTCTAGCGGCCAGTCGATGAATTACGGTTTAAGTCACTTCCGTGTTGGCTTCACGAGAGAGAGCGGGAGGTTGCCGCTTGGTTCTGACTGGCTGTGTTCGTAAAGCATCCTCCAGCACTTTAACTCTAGGTGCGGACACACGGTTCGTTATCACAGCATGTCTGGTTAGGTGAGCACATCTCTACCACTCGATGGCGCTGAGTTTAAAAGCTTTCCTCCTCAGCTCTGAGTCCCCCGAAGCGCAAGGCCTTCCGAAAGTGGACTCCGCCGCGCTCACCCTACAATCTGGTGCAGGAGACGCTGTTTCACGAGCCCTGGAAGCTCCTGGTGGCCACAATCTTCCTCAACCGGACCAGCGGTATGTCAGCACATCTGTAACATCTGTACTGTCACAGAAGACTTGTGATGTGCTGGTCTTTGTTTCCTCACCCGTATGAGCAGGTAAGATGGCGATCCCTGCGCTGTGGGAGTTTTTCCAGCGCTATCCAAGCGCAGAGGTGACGCGAGCGAGTGACTGGAGGCCGCTGGCTCTCCTGCTGCAGCCGCTGGGTCTCAGCACGCTCCGCGCCAAAACACTCATCCGCTTCTCCGGTGCGTGCCACTAATACAGCAGATTTCATCAAGGATGTTTTTAAAGTGTTAGTTCACCCAAAAATGAATAATTTAGTTATTTACTCACCCTCTTCATTAGAACAGTAAAGGAATTTTTAGCTGAAAACATGGTGATTGATATAATGGTGGGTGCCATCGCTTTGGGAGTCAAAAAAGCTAGTACAGAAAACGCGAAATTAATGCCTGCAGCTCCTGGCGATATATATTGAGGTCTTATGAAGTAAACAACAGCGTGAGCTCACCTTCACGCGTATGTCATCATGCGACTGAGGCTCTGGATTACAGGTAATAATGGCGTAAATAATGTTCAGTTTCTTGCACAGACTGATGGTTTCACTTCATAAGACCTCAATATATCGTCAGGAGCCACGTGGTTAATTCTGTGCTGCCTGTACCAGATTTTTTGACTAAGTTACAGCACCCATTTACACCCATTTACTCTGAAACACCAAAAACCATACCTTCAGCTAAAAATCATCTTAACGACTGTAGTGCTTTCATGTAGTGGTAGACGATACATATCACAGTCACTATATCTATATATATATATATATATTCTGAATTATTATACTGCTGATATAAAATTAGTTGAGATTGTTATTTGGTGCAGTGGACGTCTCATGATGCTGTGACATTATCTTGTTCGTCAGATGAGTATGTGAGTAAATCGTGGCGGTATCCCATCGAGCTCCATGGCATTGGCAAATACGGCAACGATTCGTACCGTATCTTCTGCGTGGAGGAGTGGAGAGAGGTACAAACACTACAGGACAACACATGAGCAGCGACAGTCACATGCAGCGGGTTGATGTGTGTGTGTGTGTGTCCTGCAGGTCACTCCAGGCGACCACAAGCTCAACGACTATCACGCCTGGCTCTGGAAAAACCAGGAGCAATTAGGAATCTGATTTTAGTTGCACTCCAGGATGTTTTAATAAATCATAATGTCTGCAGTAGCGAATGTGAATCAGTGTACCAGTGAACTCATCAGAGATCAGCTGCTGTCTGTCTCCTGAAGCATGAGATGTTCTAAATGTTTCATCATGTTTGTTCAAGTTGTGTAAAAATAAATTAACTTTTTATCTTTTGTACATGCTTTGGATTTGTTTAAAAAAAGGAGTGAGAGCTTTTAAAGTCAGTGTGAAATGACACTGATTTGAGAAACTCTTTTGTAATATTTTCTGAGAATTTAATACGTGCGCTGATGAATCGATCACAATTCTGATTTCATGTCGTGAAAGGAAGCTTCCTCTTCTCTGGCATGGAGTTCATAATGTCAAACAGTGTGCATATAAAATAGTTCAAGCGGTTTCTATAGTAGAGTCCTGTGTCACCGGTTATAAATTAGCAACACAGGTCAATTAAATGGGTTTTTAAAGAAATCATAAATGTCCTCCACGCTACCAACTCTAAATGTAATTCACATTAAGGCTGGCAGAAATCATGCCCACTTCTCAACTGTCGGTCGTTTTAGGGCATATTCACATTGGACAAATAATATGACAAACAAAATAAATAGAAGCCATGATGACACATTTACGCATTTTCATCTAAAGCAGGAGGTGAAGCAAGCAGACATGATATGATCAATGCATTAAAGCCACATGTGCTGAAACTAAAAACATCTGTCAAAGAAATGACTGGAAGGTCACACGTGTCGAATCTGCAGGTAAAGTGCACTCAGTTAAACGGTAAATCACATTCATTACTGCATTCTACCGGTTGCATATTTAAAACAGGGTCCCCACAGCCAGAGAAAACCTGGAAAAATTTGCTAGTTTTAAAATGGTGGTTTCCAGTGTATTCCTGGTGATGATATTGAATATAATCTTATAAGTCATGGAAATCTCTATAACCAATATACATTTTCTAGATGTGCTCGGTAGACACTGCCGGGAGATAGTTAGATAGAGTCTGCTGAATGAGCTCACAAACTGGTCTAAATCAAAAAGACTAATATAAAAAGAAACCCTTATCTAGTGTTAATGCATTGATCAAAGAGTGTGGGAACCCTGTTGAAACTGATTTGCCATACATATTCAAGCCACTACTTTCACACACATACACAGTGCTGGTTTGAGAGACGTCTTCTGTGACAGTGCTGCATTCATGCATTTGGGAATGTTGCCATGTGAGAGCGTTTCAAACAACGACTTTTGGAGCGTCCTTTCTGTCACTTCCGAAATCTTTAATAAATTGTTTTATGCATTGGGACAGATTTTAAAAATGAACACAGTATCCATGTATAAATGTGCATAAATGCCAATATGTCCATGCCAGTATGTACAGTACCTCTGCCCGAATGAGTTGCATACAGTACGTCTCTTGGGGTTTGGCCAAACATGTCCATTACTAACCATGTGAGTCTCGTAAATACAGCAGCAGCTGAACTGTTGAAAAATGAGCCCATCATCATCATCATTATCCACAGAGCTTTAAACAGCACTGCCACTCCGGCCCACAGTGCAAAACATCCCTGATTGACATGCATTTCCAGAGCCACGGCGCTCACCAGACCCAGAGCTTCATGTTTCAGTGGCATCACCCTGTCGGGAGTCCATCAGCGTCCAGTTCATTAGCGTACTTTAAGAATGCCATACAGCACGCGGTCACCCTTCTCTGAGAGCCAGTATCCTGCCATGGCAGCCACTCCTCCGATGAAGATGGCCGTGAAGACCATGTCTCCTTTGGCGGCTAGAGTAGCGAGAGAGCAGGTCACCACGCCGAAGAACATCTGCTGGAGCACGAGCACCTCATCATCCGTCATGTCTTCAAACAAAGCCTTCTCTGGACCCGCTGTGAGGACACAAACTGAGGAGGTTACACAGCATGTCTTTCTGGGTGAACACACAGTAGAACAGTTTCTGAGACTGGCGGCATCGAAATGGGCATAAATCACCCTATTTAGTAAGGAAAATCAAGAGCTTCCTTCAAGTACTCTCAGTCAAAATATAATGGACAATTTCATACTCGTTCCTCTCTTTTTCACTTCCTGACTGACACAGGAACACAGGCGTTTTAGCAGTGCTAAATGAAGAGCACAGAATGTGCATCAGGTGTGTAACTGATGCTTTACCCGTGTATGATGACATTCCTGTACTGGCAGAGTCAGATGCTGATGACAGATGGGGCTTTGTCATGCAAACCTTTTGAACTGGCTACATGAGTAGTTTTAGTACACTAAATGTGTACCAACTTACCTACATAGTCAACATTCACACTGATGATCAATGGGTCAATGATGGCATGCTTAAAAAATGCAATTCATAAATACATTGACTTTACTTTTTGAATTTAAATTAATTTGTGTGATGCATACAGTCAAAATGTCAAGGTGATACAAATGTCCTGACATCATAAAAAATTATCAAAGATCACATCAGAATGTGGTTTACCGTAATCACTTCACTGTTTCTTCAAACTGCTTGACATTTGTAATATATGAAAACGTTCGCCAAATCAAAGTCACGTGATTCACCCTACATGCAAAGAAAAACCCATGTGACTGTTTCTCAAGGTCAATCATTTGATTTTAATACAAGCCAATGTTAATTCAGTTCAACCTTAATGACATTTATGAATTGTAATGTTAGTTCACCCAAAACATTGTCATAATTTACTCACCCTTAAGTCATTCCAAACTATAAAATAAGATACTTTTAGAAATGTCATTTTTGTCCATACAGTGGAAGTTAATGGGTGTCAATGTTCATTATTTAAAATATCTTTTATTTTCCTGAAAAGAAAGTCATCCAGGTTTGATCCAGCTATTTCAACTATTGAAGAACAAGGAATTCGATGCCTGGGGAAGTACTATGACTACCCTCTTGAAGGACAGCACCAATCTTAAGAATACCATAGCTCAACATCCAATTGTTTGTGCTAATAACAGTGGAAATAACTTAAAATAGACCGTCATTTTTGCTTATGCAGATAAGAATAATACACCATACGAAACTGTAAAGGTTCTACTTTTATTTGCATGCACTCACAATATCAACAAAACGTTGTGCTTTTGTAAATTAAAGAAAACAAACAGCCTGCGCTTTCTGCCGTCTCGGTCTCTGTGAACGGGAACACGTCACAAAAATGAGCATCCACTGCACTTGCGGAGACGGCAAGTCAGCAACGTTAACTTAATATTTCCAGCTGACTCTGACTCAGAAATCACTAGTTTATTAACAAATAATGACATATTTTTAAGTAATTAAATTAAAATAAACATGTGATTAGTCAACTAATGGCTTAAATGAATGAAAAATCTTTAGTCGGGGCAGCCCAATAATTCTGATCAATCATGCAGTCCTTCATAATAGTTCTATGTGAAGCCTTGACAGCCTCTGGTCACTGTGTGCTTGTTTCGTAAATCTCCATTTGTGTTCCACACAGAAGCTTGTATGGGTTTGGAACAACATAAATGTGAATCATTAACTAAAGATGTTTCATGGATTGCTCTAAATCAGTTTGAGTAGGAAAAACCCAGGAGACGCCAGTTTTTACACCGTCATTTTTGCTTATGCAGATAAGAATAATACACCATACGAAACTGTAAAGGTTCTACTTTTATTTGCATGCACTCACAATATCAACAAAATGTTGTGCTTTTGTAAATTAAAGAAAACAAACAGCCTGCGCTTTCTGCCGTCTCGGTCTCTGTGAACTGGAACACGTCACAAAAATGAGCATCCACTGCACTTGCGGATACGGCAAGTCAGCAACGTTAACTTCATATTTCCAGCCGACTCTGACTCAGAAATCACTAGTTTATTAACAAATAATGACATATTTTTAAGTAATTAAATTAAAATAAACATGTGATTAGTCAACTAATGGCTTAAATGAATGAAACATCTTTAGTCGGGGCAGCCCAATAATTCTGATCAATCATGCAGTCCTTCATAATAGTTCTATGTGAAGCATTGACAGCCTCTGGTCACTGTGTGCTTGTTTCGTAAATCTCCATTTGTGTTCCACACAGAAGCTTGTATGGGTTTGGAACAACATAAATGTGAATCATTAACTAAAGATGTTTCATGGATTGCTCTAAATCAGTTTGAGTAGGAAAAACCCAGGAGACGCCAGTTTTTACAAATATGACTTTTGTTCAAACCACTTTCCAAATGAGTTTGTATTTCTGTAGAAGTGCTTTTGAACTCACCTACACACTTATTGCTGTGAAGGATCCATCCAGGCTTACAGTCCAGACACTTGTTGTTCTGTGGACCTGTGCACTTTTTACAGGAATGATGGCAAGCTGCATAAAACAGACAGACATTTGAACAGTCAATATCCTCATATGAGAATGATGTTCACTGAGCAGGTCAACTGTGGTTCAGCGCTTGATAACATTTACGACATTCATTTCTTTCTTTCTTCGAATACATTTCATCGCTGCAGCAGATTTTTAGCACTGATTCTTCTGCAACAACTCTCTTTCTATGCATTTGTTTATTTGCGCAATGCTTCTTTAAACTTGCATTTCAGTTGAATATGAGTCTCGTTCTAGTCAAAGTGGAATAAAGTTATGGAATAAAATATGCAACATATGTTATATACACATCACACATTCAAACTAGTGATCAGATGTTTCTGCATCGTGTTTCCCGTAGGCTCCTGAGAATGGTTACCTGAGCAGGGTGGCTGTGTGTGGTTGGAGCTAGTTTCTCTGTAGTATCCGTGGGCACAGTCCTGACACAGGACCCCAGAGTATCCCGGGTCACAAACACAGTCTCCGTTTCCCAGACGTGTGCCTTCACCCTCACAGCGGTCCAGACCTCCACACACTCCTCCAGGACCTGACGGACACGCTGCACACACACACACACACACACACACACACACAGACATAAGCACAGAAACAGCTTCTCTGCTGATATCGGTGTGTGAAATCCATAAAGGCACATGCAAGGATGAACTGGAACCCAGCGTTTAAAGGATAGTTCACCCAAAAATTTTTATTTTATGTAATTTCATCCAGCAGCCACCGAACTGAGAAAAAAGTTTGACTCGGACTGAAGACAGATGAGCTGCTGATATGCTCATGCATGAACCCAACACATTTTGAATGAACGTTTTTATGGTTTCTCATGGTTTATGTAAAAAGGTGAGTTGATTAAGACAAGTTTGTAAAACATGCATGTGTCATCATTACTGGGTGCTTTAATAATATAACTGCGTATCCGTGATATCGCGTGATAATGTAAACAAACTAGTGAAATGAACCAGTTCATTTGAAACAAACTATCAGAAAGAACCATTTCGTATAAAATAATCAGATTTCCCAGTTTGTTTGAGGCTCTGGATTACAGGTAATAATGTTGAAAATAATGTTCCGTTTCTTCATAAGACCTCAATATATCATCGGGAGTTAATTTTGTGTTGCCTGATGTGCTTTTTTAGACTCTCAAAATGCCAGTACCCTCTGTCTTGTATTTTATGAATCACCAAGGACCACAGTCTCAGCTAAAAATCCTCATTACTGTTCTACTAAAGACAAAATAGTCACCTACATATTGGATGGCCTGAGGGCGAGTACATTTTTGGGTGAACTATCCATATAAGAGTCAACATAACCAATCCACTGCTTTTGTGGAAAATATGGAAGAGCTGATCAGCCGATTTGGTGTATCTGAGCAAATATGACATTATTTGAGTAGCTGTAAGGCAGAGATACTCAAATTACCTAGCTTGGGGGCCAATATTACAAAACAACGTTTGACCAGAGATAAATAAAATTACATGGTAATAGTAATAAATATGATTTTCATTTGGTTTTAGAATGTGCAAAATCTAAAATCTCAGCTACAACTTCACAACCAAATCTGACTGTCCTGTCCACTTTGACAAGCTTCAACCAACATTATCCGTTACTAGATCAGTAGTGTCAAGCACATTAGCTAAACGCTGCTCAACGGTAGGCTTCGTGTCGTACAGCTGTGTGTGTGTGTGTGTGTGTGTGTGTGTGTGAGAGAGAGAGTGTGTGTGTGCGCATTTTTGTGACAAATGAGGACATAAATTTGTATAATGACAAAGGTATGACAGGTATTACAAGGAGAAGGTGACTTTTCAGGACATTACCCCATGTCTCCACTTTTCAAAACGCTTATAAATCACACAGAATGGAGTGTATTGAAAATCTGAAATAGCAGAAAGTCTCCTGTGAGGGGTAGGTTTAGGGGTAGGGTTGGTGTAGGGCAATAGAATATACGGTCTGTACAGTAGAAAAACCATTACGCCTATGGAGAGTCTCCACAAGGATA